AAACATTATTGGAACTCCCGATGAAATTGAAAATACTGCAAAATATCTTATGAAAGAATTTGAAATGAAAGATCTCGGGAGAACCAAATTTTGTCTCGGACTTCAAATTGAGCATTTGAAGAATGGAATTTTCATCTATCAATCCAATTACACCGAGAAAGTTTTGAAGAGATTCTATATGGACAAAGCTCATCCTTTGACTTCACCAATGGTCATTCGATCTCTCAACATACATGATGATCCATTCCGTCCCCAAGAAGACGACGAAGAAATACTCGGTCCAGAAGTACCATATCTGAGTGCTATAGGAGCTTTAATGTATTTAGCTAATAATATTGCATTTTCTGTAAATTTATTAGCTAGGTACAGCTCATGTCCAACAAGGCGTCATTGGAACGGGATCAAACACATATTCCGTTATCTTCGCGGTACAACTGATCTCGGCCTATTCTACCACAAAGATGAAAAAGCCGATTTAATCGGATATGCAGACGTTGGATACTTATCAGATCCTCAAAAGGCGAAATCACAAACCGGGTACGTATTTACTTATGGTAACACCGCAATCTCATGGAGATCTATGAAGCAGACATTGACAACTACATCATCAAATCATTCGGAGTTAATTGCATTATATGAAACCGGAAGAGAATGTGTGTGGCTACAGTCTATGATTCAACACATCCAAAACGAATGCGGTATGAAGCCTATTACTTGTAATCCTACTATGATCTACGAAGACAACACTGCGTGCATAGCTCAGATTAAAGAAGGCTACATCAAAGGAGACAGAACAAAACACATATCACCAAAGTTCTTCTCTACTCATGATCTCGAGAAAGAAGGGAAGGATCAACATTCAACAAATCAGATCCAGTGAAAATCCAGCCGATCTCTTCACCAAATCTTTACCCCCGAAGAAGTTCATGGAACTTGTACAGAAAATCGGCATGCGACGTCTTCATAATGTATACTAAATTCAGGGGGAGTATTTGAATGCACTGCACTCTTTTTCCCTTCATCAGGTTTTTATCCCACTGGGTTTTTCCTGATAAGGTTTTTAACGAGACAGTATATCCAAATACAACGACATTATAAGTCGTAATCTTTACCCCTTAATTTTCACAATAAATTTTTAAAATAACAAATATGTATTCAAGGATGAACATTCAAGGTGGAGTGTTGTAAAATCACCAAATTGACAAGTGTGAATGTCCATCCTTGTCATTAGGACACCAAGCTACTTCTGATCCTTGTAATAAGCTTACTCATCTAATTTATATCCTTGTAATCATAGTTAGACAGATGGGTAGATCTAATACTGCCAGCAAATTGTGTAGAATCATTCCTAGATGATTCATCCCCTAAATCTGGCTAGTATAAATAGGGCTAATTCAATTCTTTGTAAATTAACTTAGAAACTCAGAAATTCAGAAATTATTCAGATATTAAGAAGAAGTAATTTAGAACTTTTTATCTATATATCTATCTCTTAAAATTGATCTTCATCCTCTTCATTATACAATAGAAAAACATTTCTTAGTCGTCCTTCATTTCTTTATTATGGATGCTAGTTTAGTTACAGAACTTCTAAAAAATACGGAGTATCAACCTTTGAAGGGTAATAAATTACGTAGTAACAATTACGAAGAATGATTTTTTATGATCAGTGTTAGAAGTAATCGAATAGGACATAGATACTCCGTAGTTTTTATAATAAGCGAATTCAATAATACCGTACGTATCATATCGTGTCTATAATATCCATGTGACGTTCTTTTTATAATTAATTATCAGGTTCAATATTTCATATCATCAAGGAGTATAACTTAGTATCCATTGAGAGCAATAGTTTTTGTGTAGATTTTATTTATATAAGATATTTGATCTGTGTCATATCTTTTTCTAACATCATTTTTTAATTGGGACTTTCTAAAATTTATTAGAAAACATCAAACATGTTGTGGTTCGATGACATTACACTGTCACGCTCTCAAGGAGGAAGTCACAAGTTCGAAATTCATTATGGTGAATAATATTGACATTTAACATGTAGGGATGGACCAGTTCCGGTCTGCCCGGCCCGGGAAACCAAACCGGCCCGCCACTGTGCGGGACCGGGCCTAGGACCCGACCCAAGGGTGTTTTGGGGCCGGGCTCGGGCTCGGACTGCAGGTTTCTTTGGAACCGGCCCGGCCTGTCCGGTTCCGATCTGGGCCAAAAAAAATTCAAAGTCTTTAGGTAGTATGCGGGTTGTGCTGGATGTTTTGGAGGGGTTTGGGGTGTGGGGGTAGGAAGTAATTAGAAAAGCAAAAAAAAAACGCTACTCGATCGGTCCCGGCCTGGCCCGGACCCGGTAGAATCTCGGGCCAGTTCCGGGCCTTAACCCCCAATACAAAAGCCCGGTTTGGACCGGCCCGGAACCGGTGCATGCCTAGATACTAGTACTATATACTACGTATGTAAGAAAGTACCATAAAAAAAATCTTCCAAATCTTTTAAGAAAAAAAATTATAATTGATATCGTTTCTCTCATCTTTACACGAGTCACAAACAGCACAAGTAAAACTAGGTTTCAACCATCAATAATTGATAGTACTTTTTATATTGAACATCATATATATTATGTCTTAGTTTCTTGCTCTTCATTGTGGGTTGATAAAAAATATGTAAGACCATAATTTCTTTTTGCTCAATTTGCTATAGAAGATTGCTTTAACTTCTTTTTCTTATACTCCATAATATTTTCTTTAATTTACTATTGATATCTTTCAATAATTCAATAAATTGAATTGTCACAATCTTCATTTCATCCATATAATTAGATTCCATCAATAGTATTCCATCAATATAAGTACTCCCTCCGTCCCTCTGTTATTGTCCCATTTCCTATTCACTTGGTCAACACAAATCACTCTTAATCTCTTACTTTATTTATCAAATTTTTATCAAATTTGATTCTGGTTTTTGCGACTTTGTAAATCTTTTAATGTAGTTTCAGAATATGTATTTTTTTTTCCTAAAAATAATTTGAGTGCGGACAGGGATCTGCTTGCTTTATCGTCAGCCAAACATCGTAAACCGCAATGAGACAATAACAGTGGGACGGAGGTAGTATTTCAAAAGTTAGTAGACTTGTCTCATACTCGTATATTGGACATATTACATTTAAGATTCTCTCTATGCAAAATAGGGTTGTGAGAGTCATGAATAAAATCTACTCAATCCTCGCCGAAAAAAGCTAAGCTAGGAGGCAGCTAGCTAGTCTTTGTCTCTTTGACGTAGAAGCCTGCTTTATTTTTTCAAGCACAAAAAGGAAAATAGGTGAAGTAGGCTAGCTGATAATTAAAAGGATTAATTATATTAGCTGTACCACTAACTTTGGTTGAAAGTAGGACGCCCTAATGCATAAAGTGATAAGAAGAAAAAAAGTTACCCCGTACATTCCAAATCCTCCAAAGAATTATTCGTGTGTATTTGGATTTAGCTCTAATCAACTTCCCCTTTATGACTAAATGCATTGATGCAATTGTTATATGTAATTATAACTGTTTCAATAATATTTACTGAGGCTTAAGATTTATTTAGAGCACTAGATTCCATTAGTGTGCACATATAATAAGTCCATTTTATGATCGATTCATTAGGGGCGGGATTTGCTAACAATGAAATTGGTTGAATCACCAAACTCCATTCAAATTGATGAAGTTGTGGCTGAATTATGAAAAGAGTATTTAAAATACACTTTATTATTACAATTAAGAAAAAAATATATGAAAATATAATTAACATGATCCTTTACAGTAGTTTCTGCCAGTTCAACCAGAAAAGTTATCTCAACTTTACATATTTTGATTACTATACATTTCAGTTTGGACAAAACAAAGTCTAATAAATCGAAATACAGTTCACCGAACATGCTCTTAATTTCTTGAATATTTGCATTTCATCAATTCCATTCCCAATGAATTCATAACATTCCTAACCAGTTATATAGGAGCTTATTAGTTTAGTAGAATTAATTTTAGAAATGTCAACCATCACCGAGATTTAATATGGAAAGGTTAATTATTATTTCTATTTAGAGAATTAGAGAGTGTGACCAAGTTAGGGATGGATTCGAGCCGGGTCAAGTCCGGGTCGAGCCTAGGCCCAGGCGGGCCGGCAGTTCCGAGTCCGGTCGGGCCAGGGCGGGCCTCGAGCTTGGGTAAATTATTATTTTTTCTTACCTACCTATCCCTGACCCCCCCCCCCCCCCCCCCCAAACCCATCCTAAACATCAAGCCCAACCCGGGTGGAGCCCAAAAAATGAAAAAAAAAACAAAAAAAAAATTCAATTTGGCCCGAAGACTGGTTTTGGGCCCGAAGAACCGGGCCGGGCCAGTTCCCGGGGCGGGTGGCCCGAACAGAGTCCAACACTAGACCAAGTTGTTCTAAAGTTCTAAACCCAAAAAGATAAGGAAAGCACTTCCATAAAATCAAGATATTGATAACAATGGCACATGAACACTTCAAGTTCCAACTATCAAATTGTGTCTATCCAAAGAAGCTCTCCATGACATTGTAAGTGAGAGTGAGACTACAATTGCAAGTTTTGGTCAAAAAATGAATCACACTTGATGATCGAATCTCTTGCAACAAATTATATGTACAGGATAACAAGATTGAATGTAATCCCATTCAAGCAAATTGAACTCTATATATTGGTGTACTTGCAAAAAAATGAAGCTTAAGTTGTTGATAAGTATCATGGCCGTTGGTTAACTCAATGATTAGTTAAATTCAAATTTGTGGTTATTTTGAACTAGTCTAGATTAAACAAATTGGGCTAAATTGAAATCAAATTATGCAGGTGTGATTTAATCTAGTTTAAGGATTCAAAATGGAAAAAAATGAATAAAAACATAAGAATCAGAAGATGGGTGACTCAATTACTCAAACCATCATCTACTCGTTAGAAGCACTGCATTTATCCCACCCCAGTACAGCTACTGCTTGGCTTCAAATCCATAAGGCTTATATAAAGGACAGTTATATACTAGTATTAAAAGTGTCTGGTCGTCATACTCTCATGAAACGCATAAGTGAGAATAATCTTGTTTGCAGTTATGTGCTTACTCAGCATTCAATTTCAAAACATCAATTTATACCATAGCAACACATGAAAAGTTACCAGGAAGACTTACTATATAAGTTTCAGTAAGAGCCAGCTACATTGACTGACTGATCCACTGAAATAGACCACGAGAACTAGAATTTAGAAATTACATAACTTAAATAACAGAGATATACCCCTATAGCAAAACAAGAAATATCTAATAGACTGGTGGGGGGTATTGCTTGGCCTGAAGTTGAACTCTCCGTTTATACTCTGCATTATCCTGCATACAAATGGGCAAAATATTGTCATTAGCCACTAAGAAAAGAAACAAGACATGGTCCGACCCACTACCTGAATGAAGAGATGATATCCTTCCGTTTGAGCAGGATCCGATGCATTTGGCTCATCTAACAAATCCTGGATACCAACCAGAATCTGCTTCACTGTAATGGCTGGTCTCCAACCCTGAAGGTATAGTAAAAACTTATAATCACTATTTTTTTGGAAAAGAAAAAAATGACTCCAAGTTTTAATTAGATGACACAGAACAAGCAAGCAATGTACATACACTATCTTCATTAAGGATGGATAGACAAACTGTGCCAGAAGGATAGATATTCGGGTGGAAGAATCCTGCGGGGAATTTGCACTTTGGCGGTTTGCTTGGGTAGTCTTCACTGAAGTGCATTGTCAAAGGGTAATGACCACCTGCCCAAATTGTCTGCAAGATGAATATTTATCAATCATTCAGGGCCAGGAACCTAAGTACAGAATGTATCATCACAATGCTTTACAAGGCTGCCTAAACAATTTATCCATGCAAAAAAGGTCGCATATAGATCTTTGAGCAGCACACAATCAAAAATGCACTCCAGTGAGTAAGAGTTATACTTAAATTTAGTTGAGAAGTACAAGGTAATTAGTAACTGTTAATACCATATCATGAGCTACCTGCCTTATCTCAAACTGGAGGTGTAAAAATTAAACAACAAATCAGCTACCTTGTTCTGGTAATCCCGAGTATCAAACAAGTCATGAGACCTTACCTGCCTTATCTCAAGCAACTGTATTTGCTAATAAAAAAGCTTGTATTTTTTAAACACACATTGCTCTAGTAGGGATGGAGGTGAAGCAGGGAGTTATTTCTCTCTCCAATTCCAATGATGCATTGCTCCCGAGTTTAGCAAAACTAACATTAACTTCACATTTTTACCTTTCATATCACACAGTCCTAACAAACCCTCAGGTTTAGCCAAATAATTATATTTCATTCACAATTTGCATTTAGAATAATTGTATAATGGGATCAATTAGAAATTGTCGTCTCAGCAATAACTAAAAAGAATGACCAACACATAACCCCTAGCATTTCAATAGCCAAAAATAAGATCACTTGAAATATTTAAAAAAAACGGTGATCAAAATAGGACTGAAGATGTTTTTAATTGGAATGATTTCAGTCTTAGACGAGCCCATATTTAAACAGAACAGACCAGACTACACTTCCGACAATTGTAAACTATACATAAAATAAACATCTACCACATAAAATCATACTAGACCAGAATATTTCTGTCCAATTAAAAATTGGACTCAATTATCCCTAACCGTGATTCTAGCTCCAACACAAACATCCCAACTGTCACTATCGCTGCCCAGCTAACCACCGAAAAAGTCACCATAAAAATTCCCCACTTGCGACAGTGACATGTAGGGTGGTGTAACTAACAGTGCCAGGTCATTGATCACTACTCACATTTTCAATACCAAAGTAAAAAACTTTTTAACTGCCTGTAATTATTATGTCTTCTAATTGAAATGCCAAAGTTTTTAGTACTGAATTTTAAAAAGTTTTAACTGTCAGCAAGTATTCCGTTTTGATTCGCATACTCTAGGCTTGTAAGTGTGTTTCTGCATTTTTAACTAACTTCATTTTTAAAGAAAACTAATGAACAGGAAATACGTTTCACTTTGGAATTAGATTAGAAGGAATGCAATTATTTTATTTTCTTAGAAAAATTTAGAAGACATGAGCACCAAGAACTTTTTCACTTTTAATTGCCTCTCACGTTTAATGACAGGGAATACCCACTGGAGGGGGGCTCCTGGCACCTAATCTGGCTAACCTACCTAAGCGTCACCTAGAGTAAGGCGCTGTTGTTTTTGTAAACTCTCTTTGGCCTACAATTAAGTAATCTATTTGATTTTCAGACTTCGAAGTTGACAATTGACCATTGAAATTTATGAATATATACTAAATTTGTAACAAATTAACATTTCAACCAATATATATTAAATTAAAGTATTTAAAATTATTTTCATGTTACAAAATAATATAAATTTTAAATAATTAACAGTCAAAAGAAACAGTCTGACTCAAAAAGTCAAAACATGAATTTAAGTTCTTCAAAATTATATATTTATGCACCTAACATTATTCTAAACATTCAAACTTTAAAGTATATTTCATGTTAACACTTTTGGAAAAGTGATCTAATTCAATTGAAAAGAGATCAAACTTTAAAGGATTATGAATCAAAGGAGTACAAGATATCACTCAACAGAATTCATTATTGACTTATTGAATTGAATATAAAGCACCTACTAGTGATCTGAGGAGAGAGAATGCCCCTAAGGAAAGGCATTTTGACAAGAAGATAACATCAATTGCTTACTATCTGTGCAATATGTATTCATTATTGAATAATTTAAATTGAATACATAACACATAGTATTGCTAAGGGGAGAAAGACTGCCCCTAAGAAAAGGTCAATTGATTTTTTTCCAGAAACCCTGAAGCTGCAATTGGCAAAAGAAAGGAGCAGTTGAAACAAGCTAATGCTAGAGATCTAGAGAAGCAAGTGACAAAGAAGAAATGGTCAGGGTCTATTAATATACTACTCACTTCAGTATCAAGACATGGTAACCACAATTCATGCTCATCTAGACACATTTGTCGATATATAGTTACCGTGATTTACTAGTTCCAGTGTTCAACTCCTACTGTCCTATATAGAAAATTGGAATATACCCAAACATAATTTGAGGAATCACAAGGAACCATGGAGCAAACACAGATGATCTGTTATGTTATATGCACGGACTTGTAAGAAGCAAAACAACCATGATCATGTTTGTTTAAATCCCCTGATGTGACATTGTTTGAGTAAAATGTTGGCTCCAACTTCCAAGTCTCCAACTTTGTAAATTCATTTGAAATTGGTGAAGACATTGGGACAGAACAAGCCAACATCGATATTTAATCCAAATGCAAACCCATTAAGTGTGGCCATTTTAGTACCTTGAGTTTGCGGAGATATTTCACAAACAAGAGCGAATTGGTGAAGTATGCAGTTACAGGATTTGCCGTTACTTTTCTATCATTGTAAAGGCTATCTTAGAAAAAGAAGTCTAATCAGTGGGGACAAAACAGGTAGTTTGAGGAGGTTAAGCAAAGGCAAGGAACAAAAGTTAGCATCACACATTCATTATGGAACCAAATTAATGACCTATCTCCAGCTTCTAACTGGTGAAAAGAAATTCAGCCACAGGGCGTGTTTACGAAGCAGTTGAGGAGGCAAAAGATGTAATTGAGAAGGAAAAAGCTACTACGAAGTCACTAAACAATATTGAAAGCAAATACGAACAATGTGTTTTCCAGTACCTATGATGATAGTAGGAAAATTGGAACTATCAGCATCTATAGCCCTTAAATCCAGCTGGCCACTTTTTAAAACCTCAGTTACCGTAATAACTCTGAATTGGAAACTGATTTGATGGCTACTAATGGACTGCATGGTTGCAACAGGCAGTTGCTGCTAGTACTAACTAAAAGAAGTCCAAGAAAAAAAACTAGCTAAGTTTCATGAATATGGTAGTGGTATATGAATCACAGAAACTCTTGGGAAGAGTACATTTTCGTTTCAGAAACTCTACATAAACTCTTCGAAAACTCTCCAAATAGTTGTTTTTTTACTATGACCTTTCCTGTTTCCCCTTTCCCACTACTTTTTACGTTTCCGTGCAACCATAGGTAGTGGTCTGTTCAGTTTCTCGGATACGTGTCAGGGATTGTGGAGGAAAACTATATTTCATTAGATTATTCGTTAGCCGCCACAAACAGTAAAATCATCTGCCGCAGTGAATATGCTGGATTTTTTTTGGCCGTCAATCCACTTATCAACCATAAACAGCTACCACCATACATAGCATGATCGTAGGTAAAAATAACTTCATGTAACACAGTACAGAGACAACCAACAACGAGTGACACACAAAAAAACAGAACTTTGAATTAAAGGAGAAAGTCTGAACTCTGAATCTAATTTTGCAAGATGAATTCAATAAGCGCTAATTCGAGATAAGGCTGCAATGGTGAAGACGTACCCCAGCCTTTCCAGGGATAGTGCAATGCCACACCATCATGTTAACTGTACCATCTTCTCTAGTCTCCGGCTTAGCCACGAAGCCCTGAAAACCAAAACGAATTTGAGGAAAAGAAAAACAGCTTAGAGGGATAAAATCAACCAGACACAGTGAGCGAGAGTGAAGAGGGTCGAACATGGGGGTGATCCTTGCGCCACGACTTGCGCTCCTCCGCCAGGCGGCCGCCAGCAATTCCTACAGACATATTTCTTGCTCTGCTCAGTCTTCACCGGCTTCTCTCTCTATCCCGGAGCGAGGATTCCTTTAGGGCCCAATAAAGGGGGCGACGGAGTTAAGAAGACGGATGAACGGTCTAGATTAGTCGTATTTTATTTTAGATTTCGATGATGATTATTGCGCCATACGCATGGCCAATAGAAAGTGCGATATTGCGTAATTGACTTGGAAATCAACTCTCAATCTGTTTGTGTTCCACTATTCTACTACAACAAATTTTGAAATACACGTTCTTGTACACCTCCTTGTGTGTGAGAAAACACTGGTCCTGCGCAAAAATAAAAAGTATGTCATTTTTAAAATAGGTAAACATATAATGTAAGTGAAGATTATATTTGTAATAATTTGCTACAACAATAATTTGTATCAAAATACAAGTTATTCACTAAAAAAATAGTTGAAACAAAAGTGTTCCTCAACAAAATACACTTCATTTATTTGTTAAACGGAATTATAAACTAACAGACTCATAATCTAATAATCGAAATTGGTGATTTGCTGAGTTCAATTATTACAAACCATCCAAATATAATTATCTACTCACTAAATCATTCAAACTCAAAATTAAAACCCAAAAAAAAAAGAATAATATAAGGATTACAAAATACGTAGTATAAGAAATAAGATAGTGTTTTATCATTCAAAATTATGATATAAAAACGTTAATTGAAAGTGTTTTAAAATCAACCCAACGGTTGAGCTGGTTCACCACTCGTATGTGTAAGCAACCCACCCGGGTTCGAAACCTCTTAGCTACATAAGGTTTAGGGATTCATTGGGCTTACCTTTTGGGCACATTAGTTCATAAGTAATAATAGGAAGACTTTTAAAATTTTGGGCCCTTCGAATTTACGGGCCCTGTGCGGTTGCACTGCTTGCACTTGCCCTGGGCCGGCCCTGGTCTGTGAATCTCAGTTCACAGACAAAACCGTCTTATTTTGTCTTTGGAAAATTATTATATTGCATCCCTTAAAGTTTGCCACACTTCCCCGAAATGGATGTCCCAAAATATTTCTCTTACTTTTTCAACTTCCTTATTTGGTAAACAAATATATACCAAATAGTGTCAACAGTGCAAAACAGTGCCAAACAGTGTTGCTACAGTGTGAAACAGTGTCGCTACAGTGTAAAGTTAAATCCATCTCTTTAAAACTTGTTTTGTCAAACTATGACAAACTTTGAGGGACGGAGGGAGTACAAACAAAATAAGCCAGTTTTTGTCTGTCGATTGGGATTCAGAGACAAAAAAACTCTCACAGACATGAAGGTGTACTGATATGTAAAAGAACATGTACAAAAAAGAATTTTTCATTCTACGAAAGTCCTAAATTCTTAGGGAAATTTCGTTTAATACCCATTATTTATACATAGATAGTAACTAGATTCTCATCAATGTGATGCGTGAGAACAAAATTAATTAATAGTTTTAGCTTCTTATTTGTTAACATTATCAGTTAGTGTGTGAATGAATGCAGAATCTATAAATGTAAGACACCCACAAAATTTTAATTAAAGAGGATAGTCTTCCTTCGTCCTACAAATTTTTTCCTGGTTTGACTTAGATCGAAATTTAAGAATGTGGAAATAAAGTGAAAATGTATGATTATGGTTGAGTAAGAAAAATGTAAATGAATAAGTAGTCACACAAAACTTTCTAAAAATGGAAATGGGAAGAGTTTTTTGAGACATCTCAAAAGGAAAGTTGGAAACATTTTAAGGGACATGAAGAGTACAATAAGGTTACCGCAGTTTACACATTTCAAAACACTTCAATTCCTTATAACACAACATAAATAGATGGTCGTTTTGTTGGCCATATTCATCCCAAGTCGATATATTCAAACTCTTACAGTTTATTATTTTCTATACTGCAACAAAAAAATGAACATACGTAAACACATGCTTTTAAATTAGAATCCACCATGCATCGAAGATTGAAATTAACTCTTATTTATAGTCATCACATAAGAGATCATGATATGAAGTTGTCTTCTTTGAAACTTTGCTTGAACGGTATTATTGCATCTGGTATTATTGCATATGAAATTAAATATAATCAAATTGTTAAACTGCAAACAAAATTAACTCACCCATACATTTTATAACATTAAATACATATATTTGATAATAAGTAATCATTAATATTTAATTGATATATTATTGGGAGAACTACCAAATAAGCTCTCGAACTTTCACAAAAAGTGTAAATAAGCCCTTTTATAGGAGGTTCTGTCCGGCCGTCGCCATTTGGGACGGTTTCCAGTGGAATTTTTTGATGAAATTTTTTTAGAATCTTCTTCATTAAGTCTAGTTTACTCATACCAAATTTCAGCTAAAAATTCAACCGGGAAGGCAGTCAAATGAGTTTTTGAAGATAATTGTGCAGTTAGACAGCGCAGTATATTTCAGAAAATCATTTGACTTTCTTCTCGATTGAATTTTTAGCTGAACTTTGGTATGAGTAAACTATACTTAATGAAGCAGATGCTAAAAATCATCAAAAAAATTGCACCGGAAACCGCCCCAAATGACGACAGCCGGACAAAGCCTCCTGTAAAAGAGCTTATTTGCACTTTCTATGTAAGTTCGAGGGCTTATTTGATAGTTCTCCCTATATTATTTACACCTAATAACAATAAATAATTTCTTAAATAGTTTATTAGAATTATCAAAAATTCATAATAGCTAAATGATTTTTAGTCCCATGACTTACTCAATACGAGTATTTATTATGACCTAAATAAGTTGGAGTCAAAAGCCAAGTCCAGTCCATTTGTCCCATAACCCAACTAACACATTATCACTTCGTAATTAAATACCTAATTTTAGGGATCGCAGGGACCTATTATTTGTCCCATAACCCAACTAACACATTATTAGTTCGTAATTAAATACCTAATTTTAGGGATTGCGGGGACCTATTAGGGCACTGTTAAAATCTCGCATCCTCATCTCCTAATTTTCCAGGTTTTACTTTACATTATCAAGCCATCCATGACGGATTGTTTGTAAAAGCAATTCTGAATTTGTGATGTTTAAAACGAATCATCCAAATTTTTATAATTTAGTAATATAGGGAAAGTTGTTATAGGCGACTTCATTAAGAGAACATATTTAGTTCAAATTATGCCCCACAAAAACCATTGTTATACAAATTATTTGAGCTTTTCAAATCTAGAATATGTAAAACTAATAAGCACGAAGTTCTATGCCATTTTCATAAGATTGTTCCACATTTCCCACCAACCGGCCAATTTGTGTTTATCAAAATGAAGATTGTTTGTTTTCTGATCTTATGCCAACACAAACTGTTCACCTACTTTTTTAGATTTTCAAACCTAAAGTAGGAAAATCTAATAACCAAGAAGTCCATGGTATTACCTTCTAGGGCTTTTGATATTGAGAGAATTCCCTAAATAGGAGTAAAAAAGTTTGAAATTCCAAAATATGATTATCATGTTTTTTATTCCCTGAATGGGAGTAAATTTCTGCCAAGTTTGGCATTACTAGGCTTCAAACATGACATTTTTTCCCAAATTTGTCAGAATTACTCCTCTTTAGGGAATAAAAACATTAAAGTCCTATTTAGGAATTTCAAAACGTTTTTACTCCTATTTAGGGCAATTACTCTTTGGTATTCACAGTGGATATTTTATAAAAATTGCTTCACCATTTTCATAAGTAATTTTCATTACATTGATCCATACATTCCCAAATCCTGCATATTATATCTGTGTTTATCAAACTGATAGAACGTTAAGGACTGATTATATAGAGCGAGTCTCACCAAGAAGTAGTTTGTTGTTGAGTGTCCTGATATCATGAAAGGTTTACCTTTTTTTGTTGCCTTTGATCATGTGTTTGAGAAGAATACATTTCCAATCTTGGCAATGGTATTTGTGTATCAAATTGTTAGAAAGAATATGAAATCATAGATGAAAATTACTACAAAACACGTGCAATTTTATTTGCATAATTTTTGAAAAGAGTTTAAAGCATAAAATATACCTTCATATTGGGAAAGAACTCCTCGTGTCTCACTTTCCTGCCAGTTTTGGTTGTTGTTAACATTTGATGAACGTGTTAAAACCACATGATATTCTATTTGCACAATTTTTACAAAGAGTTTTAAGCATATGATATATACCTATTCATGGAGTATATGGTCAGGGACCCCCGGCCCATATACTTCCACTACTACAATCAGGCCCAAGCGGGCTAAACCCAGCAAGATAAAGCTCTAAACAGCCCACAATACACACATGAAGGTGCCTTCGGCGACATGGCCGAAGGCTACCGTCTACAGATTTGAGTTCGGAAACATCACGGGAAAATAAGGCTTGAGAACCAAGCCTTCGGCACTTGGAGCCCTCGACACTAGGGGACCCCCGGTACGAAGAGCATTCGGACTGTCACCTACAGCCGAAGGCATCTTCCTCGACAGAATCTCCTCTCCACATGCGTTGAATCGCCGCATCAAGTACAGATGTCACATCCAACCACCACATTTAATGCGGCCACATGCGAGTGTCAGTGCCACCCGGTTGAGGTGACCCCTCGACCACCAGAATGCTGACACGTGTCCCTGTCTAGCATTTATTGCTGCTATAAATAGCAGCCCATTTCCCCATTCTAAATCACAACAAGTTCACATAATCGAATACTTTCTCTCTCTTACTTATTTGCTCTGACATCTCTCTAGTTACTCCCCGCAGTAAGCCCTCGGATAAGCTACCCCGGGGTACACTATCCATCATTTGGTGCTCTCGTTGAGAGGTTGAACAATCAAGTAAGAAACCCTCCCCTTTAGCTCAAAACACCTACCAAAATGGGAAGAACCACTCGTGATCAGTCCAAGAATCTTGAGGACAACAACCTGGCCCTCGGTGAAGTCAACGCCCCCGGAGCCTCTAACAAGGCTCCCGAGGGCGGGGTCATCACTGAGTTAGAACAGGCTGCTGTTGACCTGCGCCTTCAGCTTCGGCAGAATGCTCCGATGCCCGCTTTGGCATCGAAACCCGAAGGAGGGACCGAAGCGATAATCAAGTGAGCCCT